GGCTCACAGGACAAGAATTCAGTGTGACTGCAGAGGAGTCTCAGAAGGCATCACAGTGTTCCAGTCCACCCCCTCCTCTTCTTGTTTTAACTCTGCATTCAGGCACTTTGGGAGAAGACAGAACAAACCCAGCTCTGCATGGGCACTGTCATTTGTTACATCTGGGTCTTCGATCACCAGGTACATGAATTTTACAGACAGGCAACCAAAACGCACTGGGTATTTTCCTGTAAACTCCTAACTGCAGCCAACTGATGTCCTCTGGGTATCATGTCCATGAACATCCATGTCCATGGTGTTCTTCCATCAAGGCAGGTACTCCAAGCTCTCTGCAAAAGCAGCAGAGCAGACACTGCTCTGATTTTTCCACCCCAGTTCGCACTGTACTTATCACACAGCTGGGATGAAACTGGGGGGAAAAAAAAATCTTCATAAATTACTAAGATGATTTCCTTCTTGCAATAATAGGGAACACTCCTCCTAATGTCTTGGGAAAGCTCTGGAAACGCCCTCAACTGTGTTTTTGCTCAGCTGTTGGGGGTTGTATATTTTAAATAATTATTTTGTATATGTATATTAAACAAAGCAACCGAGTTAGCATCGAAGCCGTGCGGGCCACCAGTAGAGGGCAAAGGAAGCCAAGCAATTCTCTTCCCCAGAGCAACAAAGAAAACAACGTCATCTCTAACTGGCCGCTGCTCCCGGCGCGGTGGGATCACACCGTGAATTAGCAAAACATGTTGACCCCTCAGCTGGCGGCGACCGAAAGCCAGAGATGAAGTTCAAATGTTAAGGGCTCCAGCCCAAAAGAGTGAGGCTGGAGCCGCCCGTGTCTGTGACTCAGGACACACGGATCCCGTAATCCAGAGGGAGCAGCGCGACTCCCGCTAGAACCAGCGCTAAAACCCAGTGACCTAAATATTCTCTCCCGTAGTGCCGCATGAGCAGCTCCCGGGAGCACCACGTTTTACTGCGGAAATGTGAAATTGTTTTGTGGGGGAAGGGATGGAAGAACGAGCGAGGCGTTTATTTGCTCAGAAAGAGAAGAAAATCTTCAAGGTAAATCACTTCGGTCTAGACGAACGCTTCATCCAGTTTAAAACAAATCTTATTTTATCTTTGAATTCATGGCTTCATTTTCTGTCGAATATACCAAGGAGATGCTTGTTAAATATTTCCACCTGAGAGCAAGTTCTCACACAGCACCTGTCATATTTGCAATTTGCAAAATATATGACAGCATTTACACAAATTTCTCGTTCACAAGATGAAATCCCTACAGTTTGTGCTTCAGCCACTAGAAATCAAGCAAAAACAATCCCTGAGGGTAACTGCTGAGTATTACATTAAGCAATATCATTTTACAAAGTCACAGAATAAAATGCCAGTAGGTGCTAACTGCATTTCATAGATTATAAAATATAATTACATTCAGAATTGTATCTACCAATGATTTAAAAAATAATAAAATAAAAAATCTCTGACTAGAAAGTACAGCGAGACCCGTGAATTACATGCAAAATTCTACGGAAACAGAGTCCTGCAGACAAATGTGTGTGTGTTAATTCCACGCCAATGGAAAGCAGCATTTCCACCAGTGGGATTACTCACCTATTCCAGTCGAAGATGATCACAAACGCTGACAGGTAACTCCCTTTTCAACTCAAGACATCGAAACCCTCCCTTTCTTGTCACGATTGTATAAAGGTGCTGAGATTTAAAGTTCGATTTAGCACGTGTGAGTTGTACTTCATCATGCCTTCATTTGAAGTGTTCAGAGGACAATAATCAAGACAAAAGCTGTCATTTAAATTGTTCTTCTGGTCTCTGGCCACATTTCTGTCGTCTTTTTCTCCATCTGAAGCATCACTGATTAATCTGAATTACTCAAGTCAGTTTAATTAACGTTGCTTTGTCTTTAAATAGTTTAGCCTTAATCTGTCTAATCCTTTACTGGTTGTATTAATCCCTGTTAAATTTGCCTAATGATAAAATAAGCAAACTTGCACAAGATCGAATGAGTAGTACTGAACATTTGAAGGAATTTCATGATTGCTCACACTTCATCTATGTCTGACTCAATTCTGTGTGAAAGTTCTTACAAATTTTCATGTTCTTACACAACTGGAAAAGCATTTTATTGGAAGATTGTCTCTTTCAATAAGTCTTCTGTCTGGGGGCCTCCAGCGCTAAAAAGATGTCTCCAAATGTGAAACTAGCATGAGTGGTCTCCAGATTTTCACTCACTTTTTGCAGCAGCAAGTTTCACATTAGCAGCTTGTAAAACACTAGCAAATGAAAACTCATCTGCCGGGCACATCCCCAGGGCGGCATTCCCAGGGAGGGCAGCAGGGATGTTTCCCCGCGTTCTCCTGTGCAGGAACACCGCAGAGTTCCGGCTCTGTGAGGGGGCGGAGGTGGCGGCGTCCTCAGGGCGCGGTGGCACCGGCCGCACCGGGGTGCTCGGAGCCGCCAACCGTGGAGGGACGGGACGGGCCCAGGGGGCCACCTGAAGTGAGACGTATTCACGCACATCACGGGCGGGGATGAGCTGGGATATCAACGTTTCCCCTCACGCCGACAGCCCCCGGGGCCCGACCCCGCGCCTGGGCCGGTCCCGCCGCTCCGCGGCCGCTCCCGCCAACGCCGCCTCAGGCGGGGGCGCGCGCACGGCGCCTCCCCCACCCCCTCCCGCCCCGTGATGCAGCGAGAAACGCGGGACCTCGCGAGAGCTCCGCCGCGCTGCCGCGTTCTCGCCGGCAGCCGCCATCTTGCGGTGCCTCGGTCACGTGACCGCTCGCAGCCGTTCGCCTCCGCCTTCCCCTCCCCCCACCCTACCGGGAACCGGGCCCGGATCGCCAAGGCTCGACTGCGGCCGCTGCCCTGAGGCGGGGGCCGCCCGCAGGGACGTCGCTTATTTGAAGGACGGTGGATACACCGGGATTTTTTTGGGGGAGGGAACGGGGAACTTGCTGTTTTCCCGTTGCAGCGGGCAGGGAAAAACCGAGGCGCGGCATGTCACGTGACGGGGGGGCGAGCGAGGAGCGCGCGCCAGGGCCCGGCGGCGGTGGTGGCGGCGGGAGGGAGGGGGGGTCGGCGC